TTTGTTTCTCACCACAATTTTTAATTCGTTTATTTTAATTAAATTTTATTGTTTGAATTAATTATCACATTTTTTTATGTAACTTCACTTCTTTTATGCCACGGCCGGTAGCTAGGGTGAAGAGCTCCGTCCTCTATAAGTGCCAAATCCAAATGAACGCAACTATATGAATTTACTTTGTACCTCATCCATGAGTCTGCCCTGGAAGCCTTTTTTGCATTTTCTTTTTCTTTACAGCTACTGATCTTCCTGGATGCAAGCGCATACATCGCGGGAGAGATTGGTGAGTGTTAGCTTATAAGAGTATATGAGATGAATTATATGAAACATAGATTCCAGCGACAGATATGATTGAAGTACATTGAGAGCGAGCGCTAGTTGTGTTTTTTTTGCTGTTTTTTTTTTGATTCCATTGTTTTATTTGTTTCTTGATGAACTTACATTTAAAGTACATAGCTGTTCGTAGTATATACATATGAATGTACATAGGTTCCCATTGCATTTTGCTTTTATTTTGATGCATCAATATTTTTGCGTAAGTGAATGAACACATAGAGGATTGGAGGATGGTTCCGTGCGCAGAAGTGGAAAACTTTTGACTGCCATTCACCTGGGAGTGCGTACGGTTTAAATCGCAGCTCACAACGTCCGGATATTTATATCCACGTATCCTCTGGGTAGCAACCAAACACCCGTTTGGGAGCGAGCTAAAGTGAGAAGGCGTAAAACTTCGCGTGCGCTGAGTTTGGGACCCGCCACGTTAAAACCCCACCCAATGAAAAGAAACAAACAGCCTCGGATGAGACCCCATTTTTCTGATGACGACCACGGCAAACGTATAAAGGACTATGATTTAAGGGTATGTACCTGGAATATCCGGACCCTTAATGGGGAAGGTGCCTCTGCCCGGCTGGTTGATGTCCTCGGGAAGACAAAGGCTGACATCACCGCCATCCAAGAAATGCGATGGATGGGGCAAGGTAAAGTAAGCGTGAAGCCTTTCGACGTCTACTACAGTTGCCACGTAAAGGAGCGCAAATTCGGTGTTG